TTGTTTATATGATATTGATATGGTTTGTATGGTGTTTGTATTTTAGGGAAACTTACTAATCTTCGGGCTTACAGTTGTTCATTTTGTTTTAGGTGCTTCTAATGATCGTGGGAAGGCAAAGGCGTGATCATGCACCTCCTTATATCTTTATGATTTTATTCTGGGATACTCTGACATGAAATCAGTTTGAAAACAAATTTGTAATAATTATTGGTTTTTTAATATCTTTAAAAGTTTTAAATTTGCTTCAATTTTATGGATGTTACAAGTTGGTATCGGAGCGTTGGTTTGAGTGAATTGGAGGAAACACTCGTGTGTCTCTAGTCTCAATCTAAGGACAAGATTTTAAAACGATTTTTCAAATGGTTTTCAAAATTCTAAAGGAGGATGCAAGTGTACGATCTACCGGAGCCAGCAAGTAGACCCCAAAATACCTTACAGATTATTTGATTTTATTATATGTTAGAACAGCATGCTAGTAATAGGCTAAGGATCTTTAGAAATTGCATGATAGAATTTCCTGATTATATGATGTCTGATAGCCAAGGGTTTTCCTTATATGAAATCAACATCATTACTGTAATTGTTTAGTGTAGTTGTTTAGTGTATGCATTATGACCGTACATAATTAAGATCTTATAGCTTGAGAATGTTTGGTTTGCCTTATGATCATGTTCTTGTTTGATAAAGGGCTTAGGGTAGGATCAGGTATTCAAAAGTCTATAAGGTCCAGCGTTATGTATGGCTAGCATACACGAGTGTTGCAGGGTTGGTGGAAGTTACATGGGTGGGTTGTGCGGGGTCAGTAGGCCAATTATGAGATAGTTAGCCTTCCTCTAGGAGTGAGGATTGAGCGTCCCCCATGCATATGTATATTATTAGGGTGTTGTGGTAATACTTGATAAAAATATGGGTAGGTATGGAAGGTAGTATGGGCCCGTACTACTAAAAGCACATGACCCATACACGTATCAACGAAGTCACAACCCCTAGGGGTTTGTTGGGAGTTAGTTCCTGAATTATTATATGGAATGTCTAATATCTTCTTGGTATATTTTCAGCATAGTGGTTACGCGGAGATTTGTGACTAGACCAGGGTCATGATCAGGAGAGGGCGGCTAGAAGGGACCAACAGTGCCTGAGATGATCGGTCACATGAGATCGGATGAGATAGATGCCAGGATTTGGAGATCCTGCAGGATGAGGTTGTTGCATGAGATCGAGATACATCTTATCTTATCCGGGATGTACCAAATATCTTGATTTATGAGCTTTATCTAAGACTAGACTCCTAATTTGTTCAAATTTTAGGGTCTAAATTCGGTTCATGAAATATTGTGTTCCACTTTCGTTGAGGTTGAACTATCTGTCTATCCCTCATAGGTTTTATTCTATGATATTTTCATGGTTCATCACTTCTTGCTGACCATATCGAATTTAGGTGGTGAGATTGGAGTTGATTGTTAGGGTCAGAGCCTCTACAAGAAATGGTTTCGCGATCGACTGATTCAAATTCGACAGGTTTTACGAATCTGATATTGCTAGAGATTAAAAGTGATAAAATGAAAAAAATAATAATAGACAATAGTGCGAGTTCAAAAAGAATCCAGAATTTCCATCTGAGGTGTACAAGTCCCTCAATGGATATAAACAATTTTAGCAGTTTGAAGAAAAATGAGTATTGTATTGGTTTGGTTTCTGAAAATGGTCGTATCTTTTGCATACGGACTCCGTTTTGGACGTTCTTTATTTTTTTGGAAACAGAGACACATTCTATGAGACTAGAATTTTTGCTTTGCTCACAACCACTTAATATGAAATTTCAGTTTTTCAGACGCATTAACTAGAGTTGTAATTTGATTTGTTTGCCAGTTAACATATTTAGAAGTAAGATGCCATCTGGTATGTTATAATAGTTGTAAGGAACTCATTTATTTTACAAAAGATGCTCTAAAACTCAATGAGTCAAATTACAAAGAGATTTACTGTGATTTGACCGTCCGCAGTCTTTGACCTAAAGTTTGGGATATCACAAAAAATATGTTGGTTTACCATTTACTTCCTCCACATCTATTACATAGAAACCTTTTAATATTATACATGCGGATTTATGAACATCTCCAATTACTAGTAAACTCAAATACAAAATACTACCTCATTCTTGTTGACGATTTCTCAAATTCTATTTGGACCTTCACTCGAAAATCCAAGTCACAAGTCTTAAGTATCTTTCTACAATTCCAAACATACATAAAAACTCAATTCCAATAAACAAATAAAGCATTCCAATGTGACAATGGTCTTGAATTTAACAACTCTTCTTTTCAAAACTATGCTCAAACCCATGGCATGCCATTTCGGTTTACATGTCCCCATACATCATATCAAAATGGTAAATTCGAATGAATCATTCTTCAATCATCATTCCCACCATCCTTTTGGAATTATGCACTTGAAATATCAACCTACCTTCTAAATATCACACTCACCACTAATTTCTCTCCCGCCGAAATTCTACATTATCGATAACCTTGTTTCACTCACCTATGCACCTTCGGCTGCTTATATTACCCCTAACCTTACCTCCACTACCAAAAACAAGCTTGAACCCCATAGCACTCGTTTTTTCTCAATTGTCTTTAAAATCATCATGGATACCTATGCTTGCCACTAAACCCATCGACACCCATCATATCTCGACATGTCATCTTTGAAGAAGATATTTTTTCTTATTCTAATTTATCTTCATACTACAATACTCATATGCTTCTTTTGAACCTAACGAAGCATCTCCCTATCTCACACATTACCAACAATCCTTTCAACATTCTGGTTCCACAAACACATATACAAACACCAAAAGCTCGGTCAACTCCAAAACGCACCCGTATCACTACTTCCTCAACTGCTAGTAGTCTTCGACCCAAGCATATACCATCCCAACACTCCAACCCATCATAGGCTACTTCTAACCCACTAACAACTATCTCCCCTCCACATGACTTTGTAAGCAAACCCATCTTCCCCTCTTACTGCTCATCATATGCAAACAAGAGCCAAAAGTGGTAGTTTTAGACCAAACCTAAAATATTCTTTCTATACACATGGCATTTCTCTAATTCCTTAAAACCTGAAACTCGCACTATTTGACCTTAATCGAAAAGATGTCATGCCCAATGAATGTAATGTTTTACTTGAATAGAATACTTGTGAACTTGTACCTAAACCACATGAGGCAAATATTATACCATGTTATTGGCTATTTAAACACAATTTTTATTCAGGTGGGCCCCTTGAATGATACAAAGCAAGATTAGTTATAAATTGGAAATCTCAAGAATTCAGGGTTGATTGTGAAGAAAATTTAGCTCCTAAACCTAGAACAATACGCAAGATACTTAGCTTGCCACTAAGTCATAATTAGGAGTTACATTAACTAGACATTAAAAATTTATTTTTACATGGCCCTCTTAATGAAAAACTATTCATGCACCAGCCCCTCATTTTCATCATCTTATCCCAGCTATATGTAACAATTACAGATGTCCCTATATATTTCCCTATATAGACTTAAGCAACCTCCTAGGGCCCGATACCGACAGTTTGCTACATATCTTCTTTAATTTGGTTTTACATGCAGTAAATTTGATACATCATTATTCATCCACACCAAAGATTCTCATCAGGCCTACTTGTTACTATATGTGGATGATATTATTCTCACCGCTTCATCCACCACACTGAAGGATAAACTCATCCAAAAGGTTGCTCAAGAATTTGAAATGACTGATTTTAGTCCGCATCTACTTGTTACTATATGTGGATGATATTATTCTCACCGCTTCATCCACCACACTGAAGGATAAACTCATCCAAAAGGTTGCTCAAGAATTTGAAATGACGGATTTTAGTCGGCATGCATACTGCCTTGGCATTCATGTTACACACACACAACATAAAATGTTCCTTCGTCAACACAAGTACATAGAATAAATTATTAATTGCCCAAATATGGAAATGTACACACCAATTACAACTCCAATCGATACTAACTCTAAGCTTAGCCTCATGATTGGGGGTCTGGTTGATGACCCCTCTTTGTATCGAAGTTTAGCAGGTGCACTTCAATACATCACGTTTACAAAGCCTAACACCTCCTATGTTGTTCAACAAGTACATCTTTTTATGCATGCCCCTCGGGTTCTCATTTTAATGCTCTCAAATGCATTATTCTATATCTTCAAGGTACTCTTAAACTTCGTTTACATCTATATCCATCCCACTTCCACTAGGTCTATTTCTTACACGGATGTTGATTGGGCAGTTGCCATGATACCTGATGATCCACCTCTGGCTATTGTGTTTTTCTCGAGATAACCTTATTCCGTGATTTGCCAAAAGACGACCTACATTATCTCGATCTTGAGGCTGTGTCGTGAATGTAGTTGCAGATACGTGTTGGACCTTCGTTATGAGCTTCATGTCTAGTTACATCATGCTTCGCTTGTTTACTACGTCAATGTTCTTGTTGTCTACCTCTCGGGTAATCCGGTTCAACATCAACGTACAAATCGAACTAGACATTCATTTTGTCCAACAAAAAGTTACAATCGGCCATATTCGAGTTCTTCATGTTTCGTTTGCTTATCGGTTGATATCTTCACCAAATATATTCGTCAACAGTCTTTCTAGATTTCAGATCTAGTCTTGGCATCCAACTACCTCACGCTTAACCTATGATTTAGACTATAATGGAGTATTAACAATAACTATTATCTAAGATTAGGATCACAATTGTATTTGAATGCAATTTAAATGTGTTTATTCTTATCTAGTAGTAGGACGGTTGTATAAATACATATTTGTGATTAGTGAGAAAGTTTGTTGTATAAATACATATTCGTGATTAATGAGAAAGGCATAGAATATCTATTACCTTTATAATCTAATACAAAATAACATTTCAGTCACTTGGTTACAACTAGTCTTTGTAGTTTGTCCTCATTAAAATGAACATTAGATTAAACCAGTTAAACCGCTAACCATCCAAATCTATCCACATTACAACATGATGACTATAAGAACAGCATTCTAGTCTCCTTACATATATGCATGAAAGACCACACACATGTATATTCTCTCCAGAAGTTGTCGATATTTATTCCACAGATCTCTTTGTCTCAGTTTCAAGCATTGCCCCTGATCCATAAGAAAATATAAAACGACTAGCAAAGTCCAGAAAAAAAGGTTACAGTCTGACTTTTGAGGTCAACCAGAGAACTTTCCAAGTTTAAAGATTTAAGTAGAATTAACGGTTGTAGTTATCTTCATAACAATTTAGAGTAACATAATGTTTTGTCTTTTTTTTTTTAAACAATACGTTGTGTAGCTTAAAAAACATGTTTGACCTCAGAAGGAAAACTATATATCAGTAGTAAATAACCATAATGAAAGACCTCGGATGGGTTTAGTGCCATAATTCTGGCGAAACATGTGCTTCATTGTTTCACGATAAGCTACAGTTCGAGTAACCACAGGTCTTCCCTGTGTTTCTGTGCTTTCACTTCCCCCGAGAGTCTTGAAAGTTCCTGAAACCAAAACAAGATTTGGGTTCATGAACCTCTATACATATGTTGTCCTCTCTTTAAGGGTTGTTATAATCTCTCTTGTTGTGCAAATATTGTGTACAAGAGTTTCTGGATTGAAAATAACAAGTCACTGCTTCATAAGTAAGCAAAAACTATGGCTTCTTTATTTCTCTGGATGAAATATTACGAACAAGAAAGAAAAAAAATACACTGAACTGGAAAATCAACAAAATAAAAGCTCATCGAATTAGGTAATAGTATGATAGCAAATGATTATAATCCGCAAATACCTAAATGAAAACATATTATTAGTGCACAAAGATTAATTCACTGAGTGTACCTGAACTTGGATTTGCTGGAAGACTCTTGGAACAAACATGATCATTAGTAAGCAAAGGAGAATACAAATAGCAGTCGGCTTCAAGAAAGTCAAAAACTTTCTCAACCAATTTCTTGTTCCTCCTCCTAATTGGTAGAGCCACATCTCCATAGCCTCCTACAATAACAATTAACATAAACCCCGATTAATTTATAAGGGAAAAGATTGTGTTTTTCGACTTATAGAACTAGAAAAATCCAAGGGACAATAGGTGTAAAACCTACCTGTGAAAGTGGAGAGCTGTTTTGGTGGAAGGAAATCAAAGGCGGGTTGAGGAGAAACTAAAGGGTTATACATATAAGAATCAGAAACAAGGTAGGAGACAATTTGTTTCATGAACAAATCTTTTCTGTTGTGTTTCTTGTGCTTGTGCTTGCGAATGATTGTGCGTTTAATGGGTTTTGGCTTACTGATTCGTACGGGTGAAGATGACGGGATTACATGCTTCTCCAATGTTGCCAAAGTTCTGGGTATAAAAGAAGTAATTCTTTTCATTTCTTTGCAGAGGGGTTTGTCGTGTGTGTCTGTGTGTGGGTTTTGGTTTCTTTTCATTTCTTGTATCAGGATGAACAAGGAAGAAGGTAGCGTTGATGACGTGGGTGGACAGGTGTTTTGGTGGCGACACGTGGTTCTTAAAGTCTTAAATTACACGTGTCGCTTTGTAAGATGGCAGCTGTTCTGTTTGACGGTGGAAGACTCTGGAGGATATTATATTACTTTGATGATGATGATGATGATGATGATTTGATATGAAGTATTGTAGTTGGGCCATTAAATGCATATAATAATACTATATAATAATACTGTTATACATGTTATGGGAAATTTAGTATGAGGCGAAACTTATTTTTATGTAAACTTGGGCTTCATATAGTAGTCCAAGACTCTAAGCCCATTACTTAATAGATATTTCCTTCCTTTGACAAGAAAAGATTCGTAAAAGAGAATAGAGACGGTTTGGGTCTTTGGGAGGGTGTAAGATTGTTTTTTTTCTTTTCAACCGTAAATCTAGTCTATTTTTTAATTATTTTTTAATTATTTTTTAAATCCATCAATCAAAGTGTGATTTAAGAGATTTTACGTAGGAGTATGTCAACTAGACAACTAGGTTTATCAAGCATCGGAGGAGATATTGGGGGGTTTGAGCAAGTTAACCGTAGAACTTAAGGTTGTAAAAAACGTTTGATGTTTGTTAGTCGGTGGATTGGGGTTTAAGAATTAATCGACCAGACGAAGATTAAACGGGGACCATAAATTGCTAATTCGATAAATTTTCAAAACTTAAATATGATTAATATCATTACAAAGTTCGTGCATATAACTAATATCATTACAACATAGGTTAATATTATTAATATAATTATAATCATTCCTCAAATAATTTCTATTGAAAAATAACTTCTTCAAAGTGTTAAAATTTCATTGTATGTTGTTGCCTCGTTCATTTTATAGACAAAGATTAATCGTTAGGCGCCACCTAGTCGGTTGGGGTAGCGCTAATCAAAGATTAATCAGAACCTAGTCGAGATTTTTACAACATTGATAACTCTTAAAGGTATTGTTCAACCTTATGTATTACAAGCTATGGATCCAATTCATGTTATCTAAAGCTTGTAAATATCATCTAAAATGTTGTATGCGTACACACTTTGAAGTAAAATATTAATAAATAAATATTTCTAGTTTTTTTTTTCAATATCCTACAATAACATCTATCGTACTCCTGTCAACTATAAATTAGTAACATATAAGAAACTCTCATCAACTAATAATAATGTAACATCTGGTTTTTGAGGTATATCTTATTTTAGTTACAAATTTGATTTTAGGGGTCGTCACGGCATGGGAAGGACCATCACGGCACGACGAACCATTTTTAGTTGCAGGTCTACCAAGAGATGGATCGCAGACATAGAGTCTAAGCAGTTTACGAGCTTCTTCCCGGAGGGGTCGAAGGTCTACTTTGCTGCAGGTTGTTTGAGGGATAGATCGAAGGGTTGGTGAGAGTCATTCGGTGACTCGTTGGGAGCCCCAGCCATTAAGGCTATGACTTGGTCAGACTTTGTGGCCAGGTTCATGGCTGAGTTTGCGCCGGCCGTGGAGCTTCAGTAGCTGGCCAAAGAGTTTCTTGATATGAGACAGACTATGGAGTTAGTGGCAGAGATCACCGCCAAGTTCCGGGAAAGGGCCTTGTCGGTACCTCAGTATGTAGGAGATGAGGATATGCGGAGGACTCACCATCACGACATGTTGAGAGCTCATCCAGGAGCATGTCAGTTTCTCAGCCTGCCCGACCCTAGAGTCAGTGATTTCCAGGGTGAGGGAGAGAGAGATTAACTTAGAGCACCTCAGGAAGAGGAAGGCAGAGACAGAGCGGGGTACTGGCATTTCGGGGAAGAAACCCAAGGGATCCGACACAAGGTCGAAGGGCCAGCTAGGACAAAGTTGCTGCAGGAAATGTGGCAGGCCGCATGAGGGAGCTTGTAGAGCAGGATCATCAGGCTGTTACAAGTGCGTCAAGATGGGGCACTTTGGCAGGGATTGTACTGCCCCTGCCCCCACTGTTCAGACATCAGACCTGATTTGCTTTCATTGCAATCAGAGGGGCCATAAAAAGGTTAACTGTCCTAGATAGACAGAAACAGCAACGCCAGAGGTGGTGCCGACTCCAACGACTGCACGGGTTACGGATGGCTGAAAGGTCAAGTTAGAGGCTCCAATGGTGAGGAGCCGAGTGTTTCAGTTGATAGATGAGGAGGCACGCGCCGCACCCGATGTGGTGATGGGTATGGTTTCTTCTCTCTAACTTTATTATATGTCGCTGGTGGTATTGATGTATTATGGTATATGTTTTGTTTAGGATCGTTCCATGTAAACGGTATCCCAGCACAGGTGTTGTTTGATTCAGGTTCTACACGATCATTTGTTTCTCTTGCACTTAGCAAGAGGTTCTCTGAGTCTTTGGGCATGTTGGATTGCCCTTTAGAGGTCGAGATTGCGAACGACCGATCAATGCGAGCATCAGAGGTTTTCAGGGATTATTTTTTAGACTATTCGAGGAGCGCTAATTGGTAGGCTTGGTTCCCATAACATTACGAGGGAACAAGGTTATTATCGGTATGGATTGGTTGAGCCCCGATGGGGCAGTGATCGACTGCGTGCAATAGTTGATACGTATCAGGACCCCAAGTGGAGGAGAGCTGGTGATTTAGGGCGAGCGGCTACAATGTGAACCATCTTTATGTTCAGCAGCAAAAACTAGGCGCTAACTCCAGCAGGGGTGCGTAGGGTATGTCGCCTATGTCTTGGATACCCGGGAGACAGGCGAGGCAACGGTGGGTGGCGTGCCGGTGGTACGAGAGTACGCAGATGTATTTCCAGAGGAGCTGCCTGGAATACCTCCGAAGAGCCAGGTCAAGCTTAGGATTGACCTAGTCCCTAGTGCGGCTCCGATAGCCAAGGTATTGTATCGGCTGGCTCCTCCTGAGTTGCAGGAGTTGCCTACACAGTTGCAGAAGCTGTTAGACAAGCGATTCATTAGACCGAGCATTTCACCCTAGGAGCCCCGATATTATTCGTGAAAAAGAAGGATGGGTCGCATCAGATGTGTATAGATTACTAGGAGCTGAATAAGGTAATGGTGAAGAACTGTTACCCACTCCCGATGATTAATGACCTCTTTGACCAGCTTCAGGGAGCATCTTGGTTCTCTAAGATCGATCTGTGTTCGGGTTACCATCAGATGAGTGTGAGAGAGGAGGATGTGCAGAAGACTGCTTTTTGGACGCGATATGGTCCCGACTTGACGAGTTCAAGGATGACGTCGACAAGTCATGAGCAAAAGGTCCCAACTTTGTATGAAGGAGAACTCAACAAGCTCAATTAGAACTCGGTGAGATAGAAATAAAAGTCCCGACCATGTAGGATGAAAGTCGACGAGTTAGTGGACCAACTCAGTGAGTTGAGTCAACCAGATGTTGAATTTGTCAAGGTGTTGACCTTGACCTTGACTTTGACCTGATTTGACCCTTGAAAGGGTTATGGGTATTAAAAGGCATTTAAGGAAGATTGTTATGTGTATGAATTTTGAGAGGAGTGATCCCACCACCGAGGACAGTTCAGACACTACACGACATTAAGGTGAGTTACCTTCTAGTAGAAGTGTGTATAAGATCACAATGCCGACCCACTAATAGGAGAGATTGTGGATGATTGTCTTTGTGATAATTGTCTGGTTTGCCACTATTTGTTATGTTTATGTGCTAGTATGATATGATGTTATGTGATAGTGGTAGTAGGGGGAAGCGTCCCTATATCCGGTCGATAGGGCCGAGGGGTAGGTCGGGCACCCCGGTATGCTTGACAGTATGATTATGTTATGTTTTTATGTGATAGTAGTAGTGTGAAATAGTCCCTGTAACCGGTTGAGATAAACCGGAGGGGTTCGTCGAACACCACGGTATGTTTGACAGGGGTAGGTTAGGCACCCCGGTATGCCTAGCAGGGGTAGGTTGAGCACCTCAGTTTGCTCAGCAGGTTAGGTCGGGCACCCATGTATGCCTGACAGTATGTGTTATGTATGGTATATGGTATGATGGGGGAACTCACTAAGATTTGTGCTTACAGTTTTCGGTTTTATTTTCAGGTACCTCTTCATCGAAGGGGAAGGAGCCGGCATGGTAGCAACACATCACACATACATGATTTCCGCATTATGAGATTCTTTGGATTGTACTATGACTTTATTAATATTTTATGACATGGTTGAGACGCATGATCTATGGATTTTATGTAATGAAATAACTTGATGATGTTTTTCTATAAATTGTTTTATGAATCGTTATATCAAAAATGAAATTTTTTTGGTCTTGAAAATTTGGATGTTGCAAGTTGGTAACAGAGCCTTGGTTTGAGGGATTCGGGCACACTCTCATGTGTAACTAGACTCAAACTGAGGAAAAAAATCAATTCTATAAAAATAATTTCGAAAAGAATTTGAAAAGGGAAAAGAACTTTGAAAAGAACAAAGTGTGTGATGCGTCCAATCGGCCAAGCTCAAGTAAGTTTTCCCCAAGATACCCATACATTTATGTTATATTATGATATGATTATGAGAATTTCATGATAGAATAGGGCTAAGGATCTGGGAAGAATACCTTTTGTGCCTACTGTATGTGTACGAGAACTGCATGCTAGAATATGGGTAAGGATCTAGGAAGATACTTGCTATACCTATTGTATGTGCTTTATGAGATGCATGATAGTACTGATTAATAATTGATATGATAGCCTAGATAGGATATGCTTGGATATGGTCACTCAATGCCCAAATGTTGCTTGCTTTGTGCTTTAGGAGTTCTAGTTAGCTTTAACTAATTATTAAACGAATACGTTAAGTAAGATATTGTGAGGAATAAATAATTTCAGAAGGTTACCCATATTTTTTCGCAGCTCTTGTTTGAGTCCAACCGTTGTAGGGTAGGACCTTTCATTCAAAGAATTATCTAGTCTTAGTGATATATAATGGTA